AGTCAGCCAATAATTAACCACCTTATCAAAGTTGTCTGGTAAAACCAAGGCTTATGCTACACTCTAGGCTTTTGCTCTTTGAGAAGGGTTCATTCCGATCCAGATTTTTCTCATTGCTGATGCTTTCCTTTGCTGCTCATGTGCTGTCTCATTTCACAGGCCAAGGGATTCCGTTCCCTTCCCCTGGCACTAGAGTGCACAAGTGCCTGTCTAGGAAGAGCCATTCCTTCATTGCTGTGACAGGGAGCAGACATGTCACCTCAGCACTAGACAAATCAATTCAGGAAGTCTTGAGCAATGTTCTTTTTTCCACCCTAAGGTGACGACTTTTGTATCTGCCAAATGTTTGAGAGTCTATCAAACAGTTTTACAACCTCCTCTCCCCGTGTCTGTCTGAACCATCCTCCAAAGCCTCAACTCCTTCAATATCATTGCTGTTGAATGTCTGATGTGGATGGAAATAATCAGCAGCACATTCACTCGCTAGTGTTACTCAGTGAAAGACTTCAAGCGGTGGTCCTCCTGCTGTGTCAATTCAGAGGGGCTTTACAGATTAGTCCCTCTGTCCTTATTCCTGTGCCTAAGGCATTCTGGAAAGCAGGTATTTGTATTGCAGACATTTGACTCTCTGATCATACATCGTGGAGCAGAAAATGATTTGTTTTTTCTTCAGCCTGTGGACTTGGATATACTTTTTCCTTTTAGTTTCTTGTTGCTTCCCTACTCTGACTCACTATGTCTAAACAGCGTATTACCTTCTAAAGTATTTGTAACTCTAAAAAAAAAAACCTCAATTCAAAATCTTCTCGACTCTGTATTTGTGTTAGGTTATTTTGTACTGTATTATTGCTACTCTTGATTTGTATTACAGTAGTGCCTGAAAGTCCTGGTTGTGCTCAGGACCCCATGGTTCTAAACACCGAATAAAAGAGAGACCCTGTTCCTAAGAGCCTAAATTTAAATTGGGGCCAGAGGAAGATTTAATGATAGAGAAAATTTTATTTTTGACAAACTGGAAAATTAGTATAGTACACAAAGGTTGGGAGACAGAAGGTATTATCTCCCTTTGCATATGGGGAGCTGGGGCATGGAGAAGTCAAGCAACTCACTTGAGGTCCCAAAGGAAGTATGTAGCAGAGCCAGGAACTGAATTGATATCTCCCAAGTCTCAGTCTAGTGCCTTAACCGCAAGCTCATCCTTCCTCTCTAATGTACTCACTTCTGCCTTTAAGCTGCATGTTCTTCAGGGCATGGACTCGTTATTTTTTGTGGCATCCTGATCCGCCATACAGTCCAACAGACAAGAAATGGGCAGAGAGTCAAAAGAACGGTTCTATCCCTGGCTTTGCTGCTGACTTTAGGCAAATCACGCAAATTCTGTGTCTCTGTTTCCCTATTTTACAGATGGGGATAATGATTTCTAATCATCTTTGTGAGTGCAGTGCTATCAGTGCTCATTGCTGTTGTTTTGCCTGTTGTGTGTCAGTGTCTCTCACACTTTGGGTGCTGCATGAATAATAAAAACACAGGACCAAATCCTGCACACTCTACTCAGGCACCACTCCCACTAAAATCAATAGGAGCTTTGTCTGAATAAGAATGGCAGGATTTAAGCCATCGCATTGCTCATCTGTACATGTTTACAGACTGTGCAGTAATGTCCTGATTCAGCAAAGTACTTGAGCACGTGCTTAATCATGTCCCCATTGATTTCAGAGGGACTACTCCTGCTTAAATTAGGCATGTGCTTAAGTGCCTGGCTGCAGTGGGATAGAAAAGCAGCCTCATATTGCCAAGTGTAAGCAGCGTGTGTTGCAATAACCAGTTTAAAAAGGTTGCAAAATAAGGTGTGGTCACCACCTGTATTTTATGAAGATTCTAATGTTTAGACTAGTCAAGACTGCTCTCAAGATATTTAAATGTAAAGTAGGAGGCTTTGTAATTAAGGAGATAGAGCAAGGACACACATGGAGCATGTATTAAAATATAATATGCTGCTTGATGGAGATACATACTGTACCATATATAGTGTGCTGAAAAGTGCTTTGTGATCTCTGACTGGAAGGTGCTATGGAAGTGCAATGTACTAATTACTGCTTATTATCTGACACGTTGAAATGCAGATGTTATGGTGCAGTTGATAAATATTACGTTGCCATTGGGGTTTGATCTGAAATAGTATTTGCTGTGTATTGTATGTGTTTACAGAGAATGTATGCAAGAGACCTGCCTCAATCAGTTCTCTTTGTTAAATTATGATCTTTCTGTTTCCTTCCCTTGGAAAACCTGCCTTCAAGTTGAAAGATTCAGAAGCTCTTGTCAGTCAAGAAATTGGGTGGGCAAATAGTACTATCTGGGCTAAATTAGCATGTTATCCCTGGTTGCTTTTCCCAACTCATGTTTAAATTATGCTGTGTTAGTAATTTTCTGTTATCCAATGTTAAAACATGTTTATAAGATCAGATTTGAGTCATGTTGTGGACTAAGCAATGGTGTGTAGCTAGAACATGAGTCTCTTACTGCCATAATCTATTTTTGCTACTAGGGTACAGTATTTGAAAGAGGGGAAGTGATGTATCCAAGACATGTGGAATATCCCATGTTGTTTTCTCATAGCACTAATTAATATCCCAAGAGCCTCACTATCCAAGCGCCTAACAAGATCGACTCAATTGTTTATATTCAGTTGAGGTTTATTTAATCAGAAGGGTGGCATTTGGCCTGCTGGTTAGTGGATTGTGGGTCTGACTCTACATAATTAGGGGTAGAAGCTCCCAACTCTGTGACTGAAAGATTAAAGTGCTGTGATGCTGTTAGAAACCCATTAACCAAACATTCTTAGGGAGCCTTTGAACTTCATGACCTTACCCAGACTCTAACAACCTAACTCACTAAGCTAATCAATGAAACAGAGTGACTTTGTGGTCTATTACATTTACCTACTCTTTAGTGTCTATAGGCTAATGCTACAACAGGAATGGTTTCTCCTGTTCTTAATATAATGATGATTACTCTCTGAGCTGTATTTAATGCATCCAGCAAGGAGGCAATTCTACCTGTATGCTATTTTTAGGACTACTTTAGCAATGGATGTTTGGTTAGTAGGCACCACTAGATCTGACAAACACAGTGAAAGCTTTGGTGTCTAACTGTAATTGACCAGGCCAGTGCAGTAGTGAGACTTTTTATGTGAACTAGTGGCATGATGTGAAAAAGCTCTGTGGGCAGCATGGATACCCTGCTGTGGATGCATAAGCAAAGCAGACATGAATTATGTGCAAACACTGATAGACACAAGGCCCAGAAGGAGGGAAGACTAAGTTGTCTTTGTTAGAGATGCAGACAGAATGAAAAATCTCAGGTTTCTTGGGGACACATTAAAGATCCCAGTGGTCCATCATTAAGTGGAGGCCCATCAAATAGCATTAGCAGACTAATTGAGTGTGCAGCTTAAACTTAATTTTGCTGGTAGCAATAAGATGGATTAAACATTATTCATTTTGTGATGTCCTTGATTCTTAGTTCATATTTTTCACTCCTCTTCCCTCGCTCTCCCCCATCACTTTGTTTCAACCTTTATTTTGGAATTTTTAGCTGAATTAATGTACATGACCAGGTTGCAGAAGCAGGGTATCTCAGGCAAATCTTTCTAACCTGAAGCATGGTGGTACCTCTTATTAGTAAGGCAAGCATGCTGTATTAAAATGAAATAGGTTAATTATGTGTAATGTCAAAACTGTGGCTATAACTGTGCTTGGAGCTAAGAGTGTGATTCCCAACTTCTGCTATCATTGAGCTAGCACAAGTATGTGTACATGAACTGAGAATCCCTCTCCTAGCTGCAAGCCTAGACATTCCCTGTGTGTAAGAGAAACTTTCATAGATTCCAAGCACAGTACTATCGTTTAGTCTGACCTCCCTGTACAGCACAGGCCACAGAACTTCCCCAAAACCATTCCTAGAACGTATTTTTTAGAAAAACATCCAATCTTGATTTCAAAATGGTCAGTGATAGAGAATCTACCATGCTACTTGGTAAATTGTTCCAATGATTAATTACTCTCACTGCTAAAAACATATGCCTTATTTTCAGTCTGAATTTGTTTAGCTTCAACTTCCGGCCGTTGGCTCATGGTATTCCTTTCTTTACTAGACCGAAGAGTCCCTTGTTAAATATTTGACCCCCATGTAAGCACTTATAGATGGTAATCAAGTCACCACTTAATCTTCTCTTTCTTAAGCTAAATAGCTACACTCAAAGAGCTCAATCACTATAAAAACACGTTTTCTAATCCTTTAATCATTCTTGTGGCTATGCTCTGAACCCTCTCCAATTTTCCAACATCCTTCTTGAATTGTGGACACCAGAACTGGACACAGTATTTCAGCAGCGATCGCACCAGTGCGCTCTGCTGCTACTCAAGATTCCCCTGTTTATTAATCCAAGGATTGCATTAGCCCTTTTGGCCACAGCGTCCCACAAATCTTCTTGAGTCACTGCTTTCCAGGATAGAGTCCCCTATCGTGTAAGTATGGCCTGTGTTCTTTGTTCCTAGATGTATATATTTACATTAGCAATATTTAAAGCACATATTGCCTGCACCCAGCTTACCAAGCGCTGCAATATTGCTCTGTATCAGTGACTTGTCCTCTTCATTATTTACCATTTCCCCCCAATTTGTGTTATCTGCAAACGTTATCAGTAATGATTTTATTTTTTCTAGTCTAAAGATGGTTACAAGGTTTTGTTTTACAAGATGCTGTTTCTGACTTGTCCCTCTCATTTTTATGTCATATAAACCAGTGCCCCAGATCCAGTATGTCCAAAACATGGACACTTCTCTCTGCAGCTGTATAAGAATCTGAAACAAAATGAGAGAGCCTGAAAATAAATAAGTGAAAGTTTCAGAGGCTTGTGGGGAAGCTGGATTAAATGTATTCTGCTTTGTTTTGGGAAAGACAAATCCTGATCTGGAAATGTGCCTTTGTTTTAGAGTATCTCCAGGTGGTAGAAAACTACTCTGTCTTGTTCCTAATCCTGCAAATAGAAGTGTAGATATGGACACCATGCGGCCATAAGAGTTTGACCAGCACATCTGTTCGCAGGTTAGTGGATGTTGGTCTCTGTTCTTTTGGATCTGGCTTTAGAGATTGTCTATCCCAAATGAGCAATACTGTTTAGTGATTGCCTCAACCTATAAATGGATTACACCCCCTCCCCCAAAAGATGTTAAAAGAATGCTAAGGTTGCAAAGTCAAGCACTCAGAAATTAGGAAGTTCCAGACTTAAGTTTGCCGATGCACCTTAATTTGGCCCCATCTGCATATGCATGATCACATACTATTCACTCTGCCCTGCAGTTTCTAAGTCGATTAGTATGTACAGGATATCTAAAAGCTTATAAAACAGGAGAAGTTATAGGTGATCTGAAAAGGACAATGGTCGATGTACATTATTTCTTCGGCATGAGCTAAATACTCTGACCACAGAGGGTGTAAATCATTCTTTTTATGTTCCCCTGAAATCTGCTGCTGTTCCTGTTACACGGTGAGTCTCAAAATGCATCATTCTCTGACAGCATTAAATAATACCGGCAAACTCCACTGGCATACAAAGTCTGAAAGGTCTGTAATAACACACCCCTCTGCACACTTTAACATTTTTTTTTGTACATTGTGAATTTTTTTCAAAGTATATTTTAAAAACCTTTTAAATACCTCCCCTTCCCGCCCTCCCAGACTTACCTGAGCCCTGTGGGCTGCCCTTATAATTCTGCAGTTTATTGGTAGCTGTGATGTCACTGCAATGCAGTGGAGTTGGTTAGCAGAGGCACCCAAATGGCATGTCTGAAATGGCTGGTATTCACGTGTGTGTTTTTAATGATTGCTTATTTGTGGTAGCACAGCGTGTGCTAGGTGCTTTCCAGATATACAAGAAGGAACAATTCCTGCCCCAAGGAATACTGTCAGGGAGACAGAGATCAAGAAAGAGGAATAATAAAAAGGATTTTTCTGTATAAGCCATCAAGACTCACTATAGATAGCACCGCAGAACGGGTTTGTGAAGAGGGACTTAAAAGTGCAGAAGATAGGGTCCTTCCTGATCAATTGGTTAGGTATTATTTAGAGTTTCCAAATAACATGACATGGTTTGGAAGGGTTCAGTTGCCTCCAGATTGGCTGCAGTATTACAGCTCGCCTGGGAGTGAGGACCCTGGGGAATGCGGGAGAGATGCTTGCACTTAGGGAAGACCTTCTGAAGTTGTAATAGTTTTATTAGCACAATCACAAACGCTACAGCATAGCAAAGTAGACAGAGATAATACAAAGCATCTAGAACTTGCATACTCACACCATCCCTTGCAGGGAGCCCCATAGTACGTAAAATGACTGATGAGTGGTCCTTGGTCTGGCAGTTTCCAGGAAAACTCCCTGGAGTGCAAAGGCCAAGTGCCACCTTTTATCAAAGTTTACACTAATGCCCACTATGTCTAATACATATTCTGTATGGGTTTCAGCCACTTTCTCCTTGCCTTACCCACTAATGTTGGGGTGCCCTTCTCCCATTGGTTACTAGGTCTTTTACTTCAAGCATGTACATCAGTTACCATGACGCTATTGTGGCTGGGCCTCTGCTGATGTTCCTGACTTAAAATACCTAAAGCTGGTATAAACTAGCATCTTGCAGTAACCTGTCAGCAACTTAGCAAAACTTACCTATAACAGCACTCTATCTTGTGACAGAGTCACTTGCTGGTTAGTTGCTTATGTTAAGTCTTGTAGGCCTTAAGCCTTAGTTAGTTTGGCTAAGCTGTTATCTAAGCCTGTAGGCCTTTGCGTTACTGCCTTAATCCATACCTACACTTTTTTAGCATATGCCCATATATCTATAGCAAAATGGATGGCGACAAGGGGCCTTGCAGATGAGATTGTACCATGGCTATGGAGGTGATTAGATACTAAATTCCCCTATTAGCCTGGTTCAGTACAGGTCTCTGGCTCACATTATTAGTCAGAGTGGCAAAGAGTCCTGTGGCACCTTATAGACTAACAGATGTATTGGAGCATAAGCTTCCGTGGGTGAATACCCACTTAGTCGGATGACATGCAATATGAAGTGGGTATTCACCCACAAAAGCTTATGCTCCAACACGTCTGTTAGTCTATAAGGTGCCACAGGACTCTTTGCCGCTTTTACAGATCCAGACTAACATGGCTACCCCTCTGATACTTGATTATTAGTCAGGTAAATGCAAAGCACAGGGCCCGGAGTGGTCACACATGCCTAAGAGCCCTGCAGCCCGCCCGGGCTAAATCATCCGGGCCCCTGGGCAATTGCCCCTCCTCGCCCCCATCAGCAGGCCTGGTGCTATGAATTGGTAAAAAGGTGAAGACTTGCAAATAAGTGGCGAGTATGGTAAGGAATAGGACGGAGTTTGCAGTATGTATTTGGCGACCTTGTAAAGTTCTTATCTCAAAACATTGTCTGTGTGGTGAAAAATGAAAATTACCCAAGTACTTCTCCTTTTAAATGTTCACAAATGTGATCTGAGAGCACCAAGCTAGCAGAGCCATATATCTGATTCCAGATACAGACCATTTAATTGGCATATACATTTCCAGTTTGAAATATATACATATGTACTTTTTTTTTTAAATGCATCCTATATACTTTGTGTTAGCTGGGTAGTTTGTTTTTGTTTCCAACCTTAGGAAGCAGTGGGATGGTGCCATTTATCTTATTTCTTGGTGTTTTTTTAAATTCCATATGCTGGATTTCTATAGGGTTTATTACAAGCTGATCATTATAATCTTTACTAATCTGAGGCAGCTTCCTTTGAGAAGCATAGAACAATGTGCAGGACGAAGTCGTTGCAGATGAAGCATGTTTAGCTTACTACAGCAGGATGAATTTACCACACGAAAATAACAGAACGCCTTCAGCCCCCAACTAAAACCTCTCCAGCGCATCATCAAAGATTTACAGCCTATCCTGAAAAATGATCCCCCACTCTCACAGATCTTGGGAGACAGACCAGTCCTCACTTACAGACAGCCCCCCAACCTGAAGCAAATACTCACCAGCAACCACACACCACACAATAAAAACACTAACCCAGGAACCTATCCTTGCAACAAAGCCCAATGCCAACTCTGTCCACATATTTATTCAAGAGACACCATCATAGGACCTAATCACATTAGCCATGCCATCAGGGGCTCGTTCACCTGCACATCTACCAACGTGATCTATGCCATCATGTGCCAGCAATGCCCCTCTGCCATGTACATTGGCCAAACCAGACAGTCTCTAGGCAAAAGAATAAATGGACACAAATCTGACATCAGGAATCATAACATTCAAAAACCGGTAGAAGAACACTTCAACCTCTCTGGCCACTCAGTAAAAGATTTAAGGGTGGCAATTGTGCAAAAGAAAAGCTTCAAAAACAGACTCCATCGAGAAACTGCTGAGCTCGAATTAATATGCAAACTACATACCATTAACTTGGGTTTGAATAGAGACTGGAAGTGGCTGGGTCATTACACATACTGAATCTATTTCCCTAATTTAAGTATCCTCACACCTTCTTGTCAACCGTCTAAATGGGCCATCTTGATTATCACTACAAAAGCTTTTTTTCTCCTGCTGATAATAGCTCATCTTAATTAATTAGCCTCTTATAGTTTGTATGGCAACTTCCACCTTCTCTGTATGTATATATCTTCTTACTATATGTTCCATTCTATGCATCCGATGAAGTGGGCTGTAGCCCACGAAAGCTTATGCTCTAATAAATTTGTGAGTTTCTAAGGTGCCACAAGTCCTCCTGTTCTTCTTTCCACACAAAATAGCTAATCATTAAGTGACGATACTCGTGAAAATGCGGATGGAACTGACTACTTGGTTTACGTATGAAAGACGTGTCATAGAGCTTTTCTATTTTAATAAACAAATCCATATTGGGAGAAATTCATCCCTATTGAGAGGCCCAGCAACAAACCTGTGCACACTGCCTTGGCCCTACTGTGAGGACTCCAGTTGGACTTCAGTTGCTGGTCCTCTGCATGAGGTGGATTGCACCCAGTTGTTCTACGTCTTACAGTGCATGGTAAAAAGGCAAGGCCTTTGGGAATCGGTTTCCTCAGTTGTGTGTTTCCTGCAAAGTCAAGGTATTTGGCTAAAAACCCTTGATTTTCCAGGGGTAAACTTATTTATTTATGTTACCATAGCATCTAGGACACCTAGTCATAAACCAGGACTTCCTTGTGTTAGGCACTGCACAAATGCAGAACTAAAAGATGTCCCTGCCCCAGGACCTTACAAGCTAAGTGTAAGGCAAGAGACAACAGGTGGATAGACAGACAGACCAATTTGGGGAGTACACGGAAACAATGAGACAGGATATTGCTTAGTATGTTAGGCAGGGGTCTCTGTGCCCTAGAAGCCTACCCATTGTCAAGTCCTTTACAGACTTTGTGGCAAAAGAGTTTTAAGGAGGGATCTGAAGGATGCAGTTTTGCAGATGTCCACAGGGAGCTCCTCACAACCATGTGGGACAGCACGGGAGAAAGCATGAAGGTGTCTGAAAATTTAACACATGGGCGATGGAGGCTGGCATCATGGGCTGATGGAAGGTGAGCCTTGACTGTTCTGGCATTGGGTGGAGGGGGTGAGCATGTAGCTAGTACTGTCTACATTTTACCTGTGACTTGTACAGGTAAAAAGCAACAAGTACCTAAGACCCTTCTGGGGACAGGTACAGTAAAAGGCTCTCTTGGGTTATTCATTTAGTGACTGATCCAAAGCCATTGAAGTCCATGAGAATCCTTCCACAGACCTTGCCTCAGGTCCTTAGTTGGAGTTAGCTGAAGGCCCAGCTGAAGATGATGACTGGGTTTTGCACTGATGCAACTTGGTTGACTTTAATGGCATCACTTCTGATTGACACTAGTGCCAAAGACCAGAATTCCCCCCTCTATGGATCTTGGGTCCTGCTTGACTTTTATTGCTGACTACTGAAGGCTCCCACCTCTCCCATATACAGCCCTATTTCTCTATGTCAGTGCCGTGGAGTCACTACACTTTTCTTTGTATCTCATCA